TGTGTAAGTTGAAGTCTTTTTCTCTCTCAAAGTTTTAAATTTCTATAATGGACTAGGATGAGGTTTCTTTATGTGCAAAATCATTTCTTGCAGGGGTTTATATGAGTTTTTGTGGTTGTTTTAGGAGCTTAAACATGTTTTGTAAATTAGTTGGATGATATTTGTGATTCGATCTTGTGACTGATCATTCTGATGCTGCTCGTTACCAGCGCACAAAATAAGAATATACGGAAACAGAAGACATGATGATTCGGCTTTGCTTCCTTCCTCAGACTCCGCTTTTGCTGTTTTAAATATTGAGTCATACATTTTTCTTGCAACTCAAGTCGGCTCCTTAGTTTCATCTACCCCTCTCTTCTCTCTCTTCCCACAAACATTTCTTGACGTGAGTTGATTTCTTCCTCTCTTTCTCTTGCCTCAAACAAGACATATAACACTTGAAATTTGTTTGTGTTGTCAAGTTGGTTCTTGTTTAGTGTTTCATTATTAGTATTAAGACAGCAACTTTGTCTTAAAAAACGAAAACAGAGATCTTGGGTACAGTTCAAGCCAGAACTCGAGAAAAGTTTGTGTTTTTTTTTGAGAAAGTAATGTTTTTTTCCTCTTTTTTAATGTTTCTATTTTTGTTCTTGGTCCTTGTTTACTTTGAGTATGGTAACTGATCATGGCATATGTCATTGCTTGTGTTGGGCATGCGTTACTACTGGTTTTCAGTATGGTTGTTTGTGGGTTTTAGTTCTTGTACTTAACTTTGTTTCAAGATCTGTGGAAGTTGAATTCTTTTTTTCTCTCAAAGTTTTAAATTTCTATAGTGGTCTAGGATGAGGTTTCTTTATGTGCAAAATCATTTCTTGCAGGGGTTTATATGAGTTTTTGTGGTTGTTTTAGTAGCTTAAACATGTTTTGTAAATTAGTTTTTGGATGATATTTGTGATTCGATCTTGTGACTGATCATTAAAAAATCCACCTTCAAATGGCTGCTGCTTAATATATTATTATGGATTAGTTTTAAATTAACGAATATTCTGATACCGATGCCATCATGTTGTATCTATGTGTTTGTGCTAAATCAACGCCCACTTTGGTTGCTTCAAGCGTTTTTATGCATCGAGAGAAGTTACCATCTTAAGTAGAAATGTAGAGTTCCTTGAATGATTATAATTCAAGTTTGGGCTACTGAGGGTTTATCATCTAAATTAGAAGTTAATTAGGCCTCTTGGGTTATGTAATTCACCGCATGGTGCATTCTTCAGGTGGGATCTATATTTCCTGCCTTTTGGTTTAAGAGCTTAAAATGAAGGGGAATTGCTTCCCAACCTTAGAAGTTAAGAAGTGATCTGTTGTGAAGTTGCATAATTGAAATCATTAATTAGCTAGGCTTAGTTAGATGATATATTGCAGTTTTTTGGGAAGTAATTTGTAGCATGTGTTAATTTGGCAGCTAGAACTAGCTAGTTAACAAATAAGAATGTGCTTTGTTTTAGTTGTAGGCGAGAAATGACAGCTTATTGTGCTGCTAGTTTGCGTTTAGAATTGCTCTAGACGGTTTCTCTTTGTATATGCCATCAAATGATGAGGAAAGCTAAGTTTGGCTTTTGTTTTCTTGTCAACTAGTCATGGAAAGGATCGTTATCGAAGGTGAACAAATTTGTAGATGCCTTTTAGACCATAACTCCACTTGTTGTATCTGTTGTCTTTAGCCTCTCCACAATATTTGGAGTATTTGAATTGGCTTTCTCTATATAAACTTACATTGAGCTCTTCCTTCAAGAATACATATATATGTGCTGTTTGCTTAGCTCATTTCTCTCAATTTTATTGCAGGTTCAATAAGAAAAAGTTTCTATATTTGATCCTGAATTGAGTGGTTGAGGGTATCAGCTCTTGTTTCTAGACTGATACTTTATTGACATGGCATTTGCAAGGGTTGCGAGAAGTGGCTTGAGAAGAACAGGAGGCACCTTTGGCAGTTACTCAAGTGAAGGGGATGTGTTATTATGTGAAGGAGTATCTATCCATAGAGGTCCCTTACCTTCCCTTCAAAATGCCAAAGCTGCCAGTGATCTTTCATACATTTCCAGCATCAGGAAGATTAATCACGTGAATATGCAGAGCAGGGGAATCAGGGTAACTCCACGGTATCAATCTGCAACTGCAGAGAGGATTATGGAGGAGTCAGAATCCGAATATGATGAACCAAGGTATCCAGGGCTTGAAGCAACAAAGCCTGGTGAAAAGCCAAGGGTAGTTGTCCTTGGTACTGGATGGGCTGCTTGTCGATTCATGAAAGGACTTGACACCAAAATTTATGACATTGTTTGCATATCTCCGAGGAATCACATGGTGTTCACACCTTTGCTGGCTTCAACTTGTGTTGGAACACTTGAGTTTCGCTCTGTGGTTGAGCCTGTTAATCGGATACAATCTGCGTTGGCAACAAGTCCCGACTCATACTTTTATATGGCTTCCTGTTTTGGCGTTGACACAGACAAGCATGAAGTGAGTCTTGCATTTTCCCTCTAATACAAATTCAAATAGTATTTTGATTGGATATGCAATTGCCAATCCAATGTAAGTTGCTTTCCATGTGGAAGTACTTAAATTAGATGTTACTTCAATGTGATCAGGTGTACTGTGAGACAATCAGCAATGGTGGACTACCACATGAACCTTACAAGTTTAAAGTTGCATATGACAAGCTAGTCATTGCTGCTGGATCTGAGCCTCTGACTTTTGGTATCAAAGGGGTAAAGGAACATGCGTTTTTTCTTAGAGAAGTGAATCATGCTCAAGAAATAAGGAAAAAGCTTCTCTTGAATCTTATGCTCTCTGAAAATCCAGGTGAGTTCTGCTATTTAATTATAAAGTTTCTTTTCCATTTCAAACTCTGATGCCTTTGTTCAGAGTTTGTAAATAAAGAAGAAGAAGAAGAAGAAGAAGAAGAAATGATCAAAGCTGTTCCTTTTTGTCCAACATTTTAAGTATTTGCTCATTCTTTGATCCAAGAACAACTCCAGGGAACCATTTCTTGAATTTTGGCTGCCGGTTTTGACAAGAGAGTCTAGATTTATGCTCATTAGATATGGTTCTATTCCAGCCAACTTCCCAGGCAAAAAGAAGCTCTGCTTTTGTGTCTGAAGTTGGCTTATTTGCTCATTCAGGCAACTCCATGCTGTTAATTCATCATTTAAAAAAAAAAATTGAAAGACTTATTCCAGTTATATTATTGCAGGCATACCTGAAGAAGAAAAGAAACGGCTTTTACATTGTGTAGTTATTGGAGGTGGTCCTACTGGTGTGGAATTTAGTGGTGAATTGAGTGATTTTATCATGAGAGATGTTCGGGACCGGTATACTCATGTTAAGGATTATGTTAAAGTCACCCTCATAGAGGTAATGCACATGCTTCTTTACTTGTTACAAATAACCCTGCATAGAGATATTAAATTGCTAACATTTTGGTTTTGTCTTTTTTTCCTTTCTTAAACAGGCAAATGAGATCCTGTCATCCTTTGATGTTAGCCTGCGGCAATATGCAACAAATCATTTGACCAAGGTAATTTTGTTTGTACTCGAGTCTCTATTGTAGTTGAACAATTTCTCTTATGAACTGCTTGTGACATTCTGGAGTTTTTTTCAGTCTGGTGTCGGTTTTATGCGAGGAGTAGTGAAAGAGGTGCACCCCAAAAATATAGTTCTTAATGACGGGACTAATGTTCCTTATGGTCTTTTGGTCTGGTCTACTGGTGTTGGTCCCTCTCAGTTTGTGAAGTCATTAGACCTTCCCAAGTCCCCTGGTGGAAGGTATTAAAACAGCGATTTCATTTGAAAATTTTCTACTTTCTTGCAATTCCTATCTTTGGAAGGTCTTGCTGACTGATCTTATTGACACAGGATTGGTATTGATGAATGGTTGCGAGTCCCGTCTGTAGAAGATGTGTTTGCACTTGGAGACTGTGCTGGTTTTCTTGAAAATTCAGGGAGACCAGTGCTTCCAGCTTTAGCTCAGGTCAGACCCTCTAGCTAGTTTACCTCTCTGACATCCATCTTCCACTGTTTTGTCACAATAGTCTAGCTAATCTAAAATCGTTGCATACTTTTGGTGATTGTGAAATGGGCAATGAAGGAGACAGTTTCTTTTTTCCCCTTTTTATGTTGTTATTCAGAATTAAGCTGCGCAAGGACAAGCAGCTGTAAGCTCATAAAATTCACAATTCATTTGCAGGTTGCAGAAAGGCAAGGGAAATATCTTTTGGAGTTGTTTAACAAGATTGGAAAGCGTGGAGGCAAGGCTTTAAGTGCAAAAGATATCCCTCTTGGTGATCCTTTTGTCTACAAGCATCTTGGGAGCATGGCATCAGTAGGTCGTTACAAGGCGCTAGTTGATCTACGCCCATCCAAGGTACCCTGAGATCTTGCAAAACAATTTTTACTGCCATGCCTCCAGAGCAAATGGGCACTAAGCACGGTCGCCCCTGTAAATTTGGACCACTTGTGGCCCTCTATTGCTTAGCAGTTCTCTTCTAGCTAATTTTACCTCTGTCGTCAGCTGATGAAACCTTCGTTTTATCTTTGGCAGGATGCAAAAGGTTTATCACATGCCGGATTTGTTAGCTGGTTGATTTGGCGCTCAGCTTACCTTACGCGTGTGGTCAGCTGGAGGAACCGGTTTTACGTGGCAGTGAACTGGGCAACCACCCTGGTTTTTGGCAGAGACAATTCCAGGATAGGATAGGATACGGTGGTTTTACACGACATAACTCACCACCGGCATTGCTGAGACGTAGTGTGGTGTTTCTTAAATTTGTTTGAGCTGAGGCTCTCTCTCTATATGGATTTGCCTTAAAACCTCTCATTTCCTTTGATTTTATTCAATTCAATGTTCATATATTCGGAGCAGGTTTAAGGTGAATGGAGTTTTGAGAGAAATTATAAATAAGATATTTTAAAATATTTCTGATCAAATTTTTAAAATCAAGCTTTACTAATAGATCCTTATCTATAGGTAATTCATCTAGTTTTTCTTGTAATATTGTTCTTCTTAAATAATATTTAATTAATTTTAATTTCCAAAAACTTCTGTCAGCTATTGTAACTGTTATAGGTATTATCAATAAAATTCTATAAGTAATACAAGTATTTGGAAAAAAAAAAAATTTAATTATATCATTTTGATATCATTCGTTTCTACAGGTTAATCATTATTTAATTAATGAATTTAAATAACGGTTAGTTTTTTCTCATGCTATGAACCAGAAAACTTGGAATCTTTTGTCAGCAAGATACGCTCGAGACATTGCCCAGGTAGCTTAAACGGGCTGGCTGTGTTGATATCGCTAAGTAATATGGATAATACAGATTCGAGAACAGGATCAAATACCGTCCCTGAAGCAACATGGTTATTTTAACCTTTTCATTCAACTTCTGCATAAATAAATCAATCAGTGATCTTAATTATAGCTTTCAACCCATATAGTAAGCATCATTCGGGAACTCAATAATGCATGCTGTCAACTTGATCATTATAGATCAGAGTCGGATGTGGGCTTTTCAGGATGCGAATCAAAATAAGATTAAATGGTAAAAGCAGAATAAATAGCAAACTCATCCCACAAATTTGCCCATTTCAAAACACTGTTGCGAACTGGTATGAAGGGAGATTAGAAGGTGGGAATTGTTGTGTATGATGCGAATCAAAATAAGGTTAAATGGTAAAGGCAGGATAAATAGCAAACTCAGCCCACAAATTTGCCCACTTCTTAACACTGTTGCGAACTGGTATGAAGGAAGATTAGAAGGTGGGAATTGTTGTGTATGACTTATAGTTTGGATTTTCAATTTAGCTCTAAACTGTGGCGTCTATCACTTATGTACTAATCCAATTCGATTAATCCAACCCTCAACAAATGGCAGGAACAGTCAAAATCGTTACCATCTTCAAAGCAACTAGTAGAAGTTTAAGCACTGAGACAACACGGTAACTGGGGCAAAAGTTCTAAAGCATTAAAAAGAAGAGAAATTTAACAAGCACAGATGAACAAGATCGAGTCTTTTATGTACATAGCGTCAAATTAGAATAAAATTTAGCTAAAAATAAAAGCTATAAAGTACAATCTTTTCTTCTACCTGACTCGGGACTCAAAAAATCATCCAGAAGACCAGTTTTGGGGCATCCAAATAATTAAGAGATATGAGAAGCAGCTCGACGACTGGTATTGTGAGAGAAGAAAGAAGCAAAACAGTGAGCAAACCCCACTACTATAGCCACCTTAAGCTGCCCCCTCTTCGGAATCGGACGGCTAACAAACCCCCTGGAAACTTTCCCGCCGTTGTAGCTCATAAGCCTTCGGGCACCTGCCATCGTTCTTTCTTTTCCTTGAGAAAGATCAGACCTTTCTAGCAATGGAGGCAGCAATCGAGGTAGAATCAATGTCAGAGAGGTGAAAGTGCTCTGAGTTTCCGTGATGAATCGAAGGTTACCTTTCTGGGGTTATATTAAGGTTTTTGTTGATTAATGCCCTTGGTCATTGATGAAATTACAGGGTATGGACATAGTTTTTGAATCCCTTGACAGTGCCAGTTGAACCTTTCTGGATAGTGCCAGTTGTACATTCTGTTCTTTTTCTTAGTGTTTTTGTTAATACCTTGGGTGCATGCTATTTTAACAAAAATATTTTTTAATTAAAAAATATATATTTTTAATATTAATATATTAAAATCATTAAAAAAATATTTTAAAAAATATAATTAGATATTTTTATGATTAAAAAATAATTTAATTCATGCAATCAAACATTGCCTTAATTTTTTTTTAATATATTTTTTTTTTTGGGTTAGGGGGGGTTTGACTTATAAAGCAGCTGGTTTTGCTTGGGTGTGCTTGCTTAGCTGTGCCCATTGTCTTCATTGTTGGAATCCATGAACTTGACCACCTTCCCAAATAACTCTAGTCAATTAATTTGAAGATAATGATTGAATGAATTTGAATCCAATACTTTAATATTGGTATCTAAAATGCAAACATACATTATAGATTCATCTTCAAGAGCTTTTGTTCATTTCAATAAGAAGAGATAATACCTTGATTTGTTCAAATTCCATCTAACCTAGTAAAGAGAGATAATATGAGAGTTTTAGTTGGGATTTTTCTTCAATTTTTTTAATAGTAAATACCTCTTCCATGAGAGTATTGGTTAGGATTCTTCTTGAATAATCCCAGTAGCAATACCGCTTGTATTTAATTAATATTTGTATGATATTGTGATAGTTCCTGTTTTTTTTTAAAAAAAAATTAAATATATTAAATTAATTTTGTAAAGTATTTTTCAATAGTTTTGATATAATAATATAAAAAATTATTTTTTAAAAATATCTTATATCACATTACTAAACATACAAATAATAATTATAGGTTCAACATTGGTTTTAACATCTATCTTTACTAATTCACGTAATGATAATAATTTATAGCTTGGTTAGGTTTCGAAGTTAGCTTGTAAATTAAGCAAGAGGGGAGATGTTTTGAAATCTAAGAACTGAATGGTTCATCCTTTGAAACCAAGGTTGTTGGATTTAATGAAATGTAAATTATAATATTAAAATTTGATCTAGTAGGTTAATTCAAGATTTAACTAATTCTAGATTGAAATTAAACTGGATTTAAAAAAATAAAAAATAAAAAACTTGCAACCTGTTAATTATTTATTTTTTAATTAAAATAAAATAATTTCATTTTATAAAAAATATTAAAATTAATTCAATAAATCAATTAAAATCTGATAACCCGTAGAAAACCTATAACTCGGGTGTTGAACCGGAACAATCATGGGGCCGGTTTAAAAACTCTATGTGAAGTTATTATTTAATGGCAGGTTTGTCGTCTTCTACATGGAGAGAGAGAAAACCGAGAGGACAAGATGATGGTGTTTTCGTAAAATAAGGATAAAGTATGGGTTAAAAGAAGGAGGATAAGATCAAAAGTTAAGGTTGACAAAGAATCACGTGCCTCATTGTGCTGCTCCTTAAACAATATGAAAAGCCATCGTGCTGTCATGTCCCCTGCTCCCCCGGTGCTTCTGCTTCATGTCGCCTTTTTCTTTTTTCTTTTTTCTTTTTTCTTTTTTTCTTTTTTCTTTTTTCTTTTTTGGCTTTTTTCTTCTCTCTTTCTCCAAAGCTGATTCCACGCCCCGTTCAATAATACATATATTTACATCTTCTATCAAATTTTCCTTTTTTCTTTCTTTATTTTTTATTCCTATTTTTATATCAATTTATAATTTTAATTTCGCATATTCTATATTTATCTCGTATATTTAGAAATAATTAATATATTATCTTAATGTGACATTAAGATTTGGACTTAAAAAAGCTAAAATATAAATAATTTTTTTAAAAAAAATAGCATCCCTTTTGTTTTTTTTTTAAATGTTCTTTTTTCTTCAACCTTGTTTGTTTTTACATTTTAAAAATATTTTTAAAAAAAATTATTTTTTTTTTATTTCAGATTAATATTTTTTAGTATTTTCAAATAATTTTTATGTGTTAATATTAAAAATAATTTTTTAACAATAAAATAAAAAATTATTTTAATATATTTTTAAATAAAAAACACTTTAAAAAATAACCGTAACCATACTTTACTTGAATTTTTTTTGCCTTAAATTATAAAATATTTTTCTTTTCAATGTCAACTTTCAAGTATTATGAAAATTAAAATTTATAATTGTTTATTTATTTTTTATATGATTATCTCAATTTAAAAAAATATATATTTTTATATATCTAGTCATATTTAAAAAAAAAATAACCTTATTATAAATCTTATATTTTTATTATCATATAATTAAATAAAAATATAATTTAAAAAATAAAATAATTAAATCAAACAGAATCTATAACTTTATATATAGTTGTTTTAATATTTTAAAAATAACATCCGCATGTTTTTTTTTTTTATTTACGTTAAATGACTTCTTCGAAAGAACTTCTCTGATGTTTAAAAGGTCACTCGCCGCATCGCACAGGCAACCTTTCATGAACATGAAGGATAGTTTCTTTTCTTTTCTCAGCATAGTTCATGAAGTTAATTCATGGAAGCTATCACCGTCAATATTTTTCTCATTGAACGATATATTTCAAAGTCAGCACCATATTTCTTTTCATAGAGAGAATCGAAGAAATCCAAAAGAAATATATTTAAAAGACAATGCCAGGTCCATGGCCGCCATGCTTACAGCAAATTAAATAAGCTAAAGCAACGCAACCATGTTTTGTGTGCTAGTGGTTTTAGCAGGGGGGTTTGCTGTCTTTACACTCTAGGTTTGAAACTTGGTGGGTATATTTATGATCCCTGTAATATTTTACTTATTTATTAAATTTATAGATAAATTTAAAAATTAATTATAATACAATGTAAGTTATACAATGTAAGTTATAAAATAAAAAATAATAAGCTAAAGCAACACAGTATAGTACTACATTAAATTAGTATGACTAACACCATTCATCGAATCTGAATCTTGCAAGTGGAGAAGGCCTCTGGGTTCAATGAACTTCCTGTAATTCTTGACAAAATTATTTTAATTGTGTCAGATTTTGTTAGGGCAGGGAATAGATTTGGTTCTGGTCGGATGGGATTTGAAATTGAAGCCGCCTGGCCAATTATCTGTGGTGGGTTTTAATAATTTATTGAGATAAATACTTTGTTTGAAATCAGGGGATGCATCTTCTGCTTACTTTATAGCATGCTTGACCGAACCCTAGAAAATCTAGCATTGATAATTTTGTGCACGCAGTAATAACTGTTCTTGATTCGGTAATAGCTTACATCATGATTTTATGTCTTAATAACTTAATGGGTCAAATATCCTCCAAGGTTTATGCACTGGCGCCTCATAGGTTAGGTAGATATTTCAAGTATGACATTAACATTTACTTGACATTTTGCCTTCTTGAAATTTTATAATACATGAGCATTTAGGCATCTTGTCAAAGTTATTAACCCCATATGAATCATGAATATCTATGTTGATGCTGCAGTTATGGATTAATTAGATTAATTTAAATTGGGTGACTTAATTTAAATTGATTCGAGCTAGTTAGAACAATAATATTCAAGTTTTTTTAATAAAATAATATTTTTTTGATTTTTTTTAAAATTAAATTAGTTTTTATCAGTCAATAAGATTTTAAATTAATTTATTAATTTGATTAAATTATATCAAATTAATTTTTATACAATTTAATTTAAAATCAAACCTTAATTGAGGTTTCTTAATCATCCAAGTAATTATAAGATTTTTTTTATCAGAAAGCATAACTGGATTTTAATTTTTTTAAAATAAACATGTTATTTTTCAAGTAAAAGCTAACTCGGTTAAATTTGGATGGCTCACGGATCATGCAATTAAATTTACATATATTAACATGTTTTTTTAATTTACATATATTAACATGTGATTAAAATCTTAAAATGGGTTTAATAACTTTGATTTTAACAAAAACTACTCTACTCATGAACTTAAAAAAGAAAAAAAGTCAGTATGGCCTTTCCAGTTTCAAAAATAAAAGTAGGTTTGGTAATCAATTACTCTACTGATTTTAAGTTAACAATATTGTCTTTGACTTGTTTATGCAAAGAAAACTCCACCCTCGTTGGTTGAACCATTGATCTGGGCAAAATTAATAAATCTCTCAACCACAAGTTTAATTACTTGCTAATACTGGGAATTAACGATTTGGTGCAAAATACTTGCCCATCACAAAGCCACATCAAAGACTAAAGAATCAAAGTAGAATCAAGAAGTTCATCTGAAATTAATTAGTAGAACAAAATCTCTGTACAATGGAAGAAACACTAGTAACCTCATAGAATACATGAACAAAAACGAAAAAATAAAATAAAATTGTTCATTTCTAACGAGCCACTGAACTCGAGCCAAGTTTCTGAGCCTTCCATGGTCTGGTGGCTAGTGAGCTAACTGGAAAGCACCACATTTCTTGCGGGGAGAAAAAATTGATGCAAAAGTATGGGCCAAACCCAGTACTATCGCCACCTTAACTTGACCTCGCTTGGGGATCATACGGCCATAGAACCTCTGTTGTGAGTAACTTCCACCATTGATCATCACGCTCCTGCCACTTGCTGCCATCTATATATCCTAGGTCTTCCTTCTTCTCCTGAGAGATTGAAAATGTTAGAGAAGAAGAGAGAAGCTGTTGAGGCTTGGGA